AGAAAGGGCTGGCCCAGTTGAGGCAGATTGGTTTTGTATTCCAAAATCACCCAGGCGGTCTCTTTCTTTATATTGGATGATTGTTCGGCTAGCGATAGACCGGGTTTTATGTTTAGGCCATGGTTTAGGTCCTTGTATATGTGCTTGGCTAAAGATCTTCAACCAGTATATGACCCTTGATCAGATGTGTCGTTTCGACCCCTTTTGTACGTGTATTGGAGTCCCTGGGGTGCCGTGACGTGTTGTGTTTTCACCGATTTACCTTCATTCGAAAGCTAGGCATATACGTATACAGGAAATGCAAACAACACATCTGCTTGGAGAGGACAACCAAAACTAGACAAACATCCATCGGTACGGGCATTATGCAGTGCCCAGTGTAAATAGGTGTGAACCACTCTCTTTGACAGCTGGGAGTCCCCACTGTGTCAATTTCAGAAACATGCGGCGCACATGCATTTTACGGTACACCGTAGGGGGGCGGGATACGGGAGTACTTAATTGTACATTCCTTTACAATGTCCTTGGTACATCGAAAATCTAGGATACGGTTGGTAGGGTATGATATTGATACCATCTAAAAGCTTGAAGTAACTTCAGGGCTGTGATCGACCGTGGTTTATACACAGCAGTACTTTGCCCTTGCTGCTGCCAGTGTTTACATAAAAACCTTGTTTCAATATTAGGTTTAGGTACGTCTGGTCTGTGCAAGTTTCACACTTGTACATTGGACTTGGGTGTTGATTTCTGCATCATCAACATCATTTCCCCTATTCCATAGCAACAAAATTATTCCCCGGAATCAAATGGTTACATTGACCAAGGAGCTTTCAAATTATATATAGAGCTTTTTGCATTGATTTCTAACCTCCTTATAGAGGCACTGGACTTAAGTGCTAATGAAGTGTTGTAAATGTACAAAAATGACACAAGTCACAACATTGTGCTTTCCTCCTCAGGTTGCTCCAGAAATTCACGCCAAACCGAAGACGTACCTTCCCTCACGAGACTATGACGTGTTTGCGGGAAGGTGGAATGAAATCTACGGAAACAACCTAGGTGCCCTGGCCATGTACTGCGTGCTGTTTCCAGAGGACAGGCAGGCCCTGGACACTGCCCTGGACTACATGGACAGAATGGCCTCCCTCAAACAGTGGCAAGTCAAAGCCTCCATGAAGGACGAGGTCCCCGTTGCACATTCCCTCACAGGCTTTGCCACTGCCTACGACTTCTTATACGAGCACTTTGATGACTCGCGCCGGAAAATATATTTCAAAAAAATTTCTGACGTCACCAAGGAGCTTTATGAGTTTTCAAAGATTCGGGGGTGGGGTAAGCAATACCTACAGAACCATGTAGCCACAAACTACTTGGCTTTACTGACAGGGAGTCTTGTACTTGAAGTAGACGACCCCAAGGCATCAGTCTGGAAGGAGAGAGCCATCAATAAGATTGAGGAGACCATGTTTGTTCTAAATCATGTCGTCGATGGTTCCTTGGATGAAGGGGTTGCATATGGGAGCTACACGTCACGGTCTGTAACGCAATACGTATACCTCACCCTCAGACACTTTGACATTAATCATTTGGATAACTTTTGGTTGAAAGAGCATTTCTGGTTCTATTACTCCACCATGTTGCCAGGATACCAGAGGACCATTGGTGTTGCTGATTCTAACAGTAATTGGTTCTATGGCCCAGAGAGCCAACTGGTGTTCTTGGACAGGTACGTTCTGAGAAATGGCAGTGGAAACTGGCTTGCAAGGCTGATCAGGAAGCACCGCCCCACGGAAGGAGCCCTCAGTGCATCAGCTTCTCAGAGATGGTGCACATTGCACACTGAGTTCATCTGGTACGACCCCTCCCTGGGGGAGTCCCCACCCCAGGGGCACGGCAAAGCCCAGCTGCACACCTTTACAGACTGGGGAGTGGTGACGTACGGGAGTGCACTGCCTGTAGGAGCTGACAGCACGTTTCTATCCTTCAAGTCAGGAAGTCTGCACGGCAAGGCAGTGTGGAACATGGTGCACCGCAAGATGTACCCAGAGATGGTGACAGGGGGTTGGCAGAACTTCAACCCAGGACACGAACACCCTGACCAAAACTCCTTCGTGTTTGCCCCTGCTGGACAGCTCTTTGTCACAGAGGCGCTATATGGACCTAAGCTGACTCACTTGAACAACGTCCTGGTTTTCTCCCCTTCCAAGACTAGTCAGTGTTACCAACCGTGGGAGGGACAGCTCGGGGAGTGTGCCAAGTGGCTGGCATGGAGGGAAACACCGGTGGGAGACTCTTCTGCAGAAGTCATCACTGCAGATGAGAAAGGTAAGGTCTAACTTATCTCTCAGTTGTAACTCTACTGGTTTTCTACATTTCTGCCTTACAAATGTCATAGCTTATTTCAACTGAGTGTCATAGTTAAGTGTGACATGTAGAGTACATTAAGACAAGCCTGGTAACCAAACCTATTTTACCTAGCTATTGAGTCTCTTGAGCCTCCACAAAAGGTCAAGAAAATTGATAGCTAAAATAGGTTTGGTAACCAGGCTACATTAGGACTAAGGGGAAGCTGAGACCTCAGGGATCAATTTCTCTCAATTAACCAAACATTCAACAGACAAAACTTTTTCAGGCTGTCAAGAGCACAGGAAATTTGTAACCCCCCTTTTTTTCAAAACTGCACCCCACACACTGCACCCCTTCAAACTATGCCTGACATTTGAGTTACAAAAGATCTTAAGGTTAAGTTATTCAAACTTTAGACAATAAATTTCTAAGAAAGATGGCAGAAGATTGATATGCAAACATTTGCGTGACAAAAAAGGGCATGTGTCATAGAGAATGGGCTCCACTGGTCCTTAAAAAGTGACCCTGTCCTGTATAGAAAGTGTCAGGTGATCTATTTATTGGTTAACCTGGCTGTCACCCAGGTGTCACTGACCTCAGCTACAGGTTGAGGATTATCAAGATAATACACATCTGTTCTGTCAGATGCACAGAGTGATCCAAGACATTGGTGTCACAGAGGTCTGGGTGGGTCAAGGGAAAATTATTCAGCCTGAAGGAATTAAAAAAAATCTTATCTCCAAGCAGATGTTAGGTGAGGCCAAATGTTAATGTTTTCCTAGCTGCCCATTTCTGTGTCAAGCTGGCAAAATTTTACCCTGTCCCAAGAGACAGTTTGACACAGAAGTGAAGAGAATGTAACGATTTAGCCTCCCAACATCTGCTTGGAGATTAGCAAAGATGTCTATAAATGTCAGGAAACAGGAAGTGTATGCCAGCTGTTTTGTATTGCAGAGGTTTAGGTCAACATATTTCTTCTACGATATCTTCCTTCTCCAAACAGGAAAAATTACATCACAGGTGTGGAGAAGGAAGTGTGCAACAGAAACAAAATAGGGCAATCTCAGTGTAACATTCTATGATCTTTGCATATTTATACCTCAGGTGCCATGGTTGCAAGGAGATTTAAAAGAGACCTCCTTGCTTGTAGCATAGTACCTCTGGAGAGAGTTCTTTTGTCATGCCAGAGACTGTATTGATTTTCTTTAATGTACTCTGAATCATGTGAAGTCTGGTATCTGCCAGCGACTGACTCCCAATCCAGGCCAGCACACTCTGGCCGATTCCTTGATGATAGCGGATTGGTAGGGATTTGCCTGACCAATTTTTGTAGGTTTATATCATATAATCAAAGATTTGAATTTCTGTACCCTGGAAATTTGAAACAAGATCAAAGATTATCTTTCTGGTACATGTATTTGGGAAGGCAGAAAAGTGGGCCAATTAGCATCCATAGAATAAGGTGCCCATCTGCCGTAGGTATGGAAGTCACCTGAGAGTTGTGTAAGGGTCATGAGTCATGCGTGGAATGGAGATGAGATCTAGACCTGCTAGATGAAAGTCACCTGACTGAGGCATGGGGGAATGTTCAGGAATCTTGCCGGCCAGTGCAGCAGACCCAGACTAAAATGGAGCAGTATTAAATTGTCATATAGTAATTAATACATGTATATTTGGGTGTGGTCCTTATAAAATGATAGCTTGGGTACCATCCTGGTTTTAGCCTTTAGCTCCCACACTGGCTTGATCACATGAAATAATGGAGTTAGCCTAAAGGAAACAGGTGGTAAGGAGGCTAGAATGAGGTGCTTCTCTCAAATCTAAACATCTTTAGTAGTTTTGCTAGAAAGTGTTTGTGTTGTTGAACACCAAAATGAAAATAACCTGTAAAAGATAGCCAAAGCCAACACTGCATATATTCACAAGATCCTCCCCTCAACAATTGAATGGCAGATGCATTGTATGTCATGTAACTTTATAAAAAATTCCTATACCTTGTCAAATTGCCATCATATATAACAGCATTATTAGCAGACATCCTGCATGGAGATGGATTATTATGAGATGGGAACATCATTTTCTATGTCGTCCCAGGATCCACAATCTGGTTAGCCTGGCTTCAATAATCTCTTCTGGATTTGATTACTGGTACTTCAAGTACCAGTAATGTACTTAGGGATAATCAACATCACCAGAGGTGCAATAAATGGTATGGGTGTCTAAGGTCTTATTTTCTATGCATATGTGGACAGGAAAAGTAGGTAGAATTTATTCTTGATGTGAAGAATATTTAATATTTTGCACCATAACCATCATTTTATTTCCTGTAATGCCCAGTTACCCGGTAACCGATAATAAGTGAAAATTCAGGGCTTCCAAAATGCTGCCTTGGAATTTGTGAAATGAATACTTCATAATTCATAGTGACAACATGACTTGCCATCCTTCACTAACTGGTACCAACTTTGGATGTTTGCCATTGCATACAAAACTGACTCAGAGTCAGGGGGTTAGGGCTTGCACCTGGGTAAAGAAACTTAAGCATGGTTCTTTCTTTAGACTGGGATTTTTTCCAAACTTACTTTTCCCATGGCCTTAGGAGGTCAGAGGCGCTGGGCAGGGTATGCTGACTAAACAAACAATCTTGGAAAGCTATAATATAGGTGTGGATGGATACATTTCCATTTAGAACATCACAACACTTACTAGTATTGTTAAAGTTTGTGATGTTTGACAAAAGACTGTCCAAAAATCTGTCCACACCTAGCGTTGCATTATTGTTTGTTTTACAACGTTGTATAACAGTTCCTTTAATGTTATATTGATCTATGACTGGTATAGTAATCTGTCAATGTTGCTAGTTACTAGTACTCTTTCACGTGGGGAGGGCGGACAAAAACCGGGCGCATGATAAAGAATGTCACAATTTTCCCCACCAACCTCTGCTTGGAGAGTACTCTTTCACTTGTACTGCTGGATTGGCTTTAGAAAAGTGTCTAGTATCAATACCTGGTTACAGATTACATCCATAAAGACTGAGTTTACGAGAGTGGGAATGCCGCACTTCTTTTGTTCATGCACACACTTTATGGTGCCATCCATTTGCAAGAAGATGAGTAGAGTTGGTTGGGGACCTCGCTGTGAGAAAATTGAGTCATAAAATATCCAGCATAGCGCAATGCACATCTTATAACTTGTTTCAGAGATAACATGGGGGTTTCAATTCTGTACAAGGATGCAAGTATAGAAATTATTTGTCAAAAGGTACAAAATGTTGAGGGTTGATTTTCCTCACTGTATGATACTCATCTAAGTAAATACATTTTCATGCTTCCAGAAGTGGAAGAAACAAGTGCTAAACTTATTTTTGCTGAAATTTTTCAGCTTCTTTGTATGCGATAAACCAATGTTTCAAGTCTGCCAAAAGCAAAGGAAGAGATCTGTTTAGGCTGATGACAAAATAGCATTAGAGAAATAAGAAGTAAGTAGCTTAATTGGCCAATGGCACCTGATGGGATAATCCTTTTTCTGCAAAGTCTACTGACAGAATTAGCTCTGAATGCCAAACACTATGCTGCAATGTAAAAGCCTCTGTAGGGAAACGGCTTTATATGGCTTAACCTGCAGGTCACAGTTTAGGATACTACGTGTCTAATGGTTTCAAGCATGACATGCAACATCAGGAAGTAACATTAGACTTGACATTCAAACTGAATACTTCAAAGTTTTTACAAGGATGTTTATTTGTTAGGTCTTGCCATGGTAAGGCTCAGATTGTACAAATGTATCAAGAAAAGAATTGACTGTGCAGACAAAATATGAAACCTTTCCATGTCGTCATTGCCTTATTTTAAGTAAGTTATACAAAATGTATTATGCTCAATATGTTGTACATGTACAGTGGTTGGACCTCTGTTCGAACAGTTGCATTCCTTGAGTTAATTTGGAAGATTCTCAACATTCTTGAAAAAAAAGTAGGACTTGGAGTATACCCCTGTGTGAACTGTCTCATCCTGTAGTTTTACTAGCAGCACCTGGGACACTTCCCATGGTATTCAAAATCACCTGAGTTAGTGGTAAACGACAGCTGCTCTGGAGCTTTGGCACCTCATCAGCCCAAGTTATTGTCCAAGGTCTTGTAGTTTAACCAATGGCTGTGAGGAGAGCTACATGTGCCTTCACCATACAAACTACAACTCCCCCCCCCCTATGTTGTGTAAAGTTTTATAGAATTGACTTCATTAAGTCTGCTAGTGAGTTTGAGGATAACAGCGTATATCACTACGTGAAGTTATGTCCCACAGGAGAGATGGAGCAGACATAACAACAGCAGTTCAAACTGTGAGATGGTTTATCTAAAGAAATGTTGTGGGAGGTTGCCAAATTTGAAAGGAAGCATATTTGTGTGCAGCAAAATGGAGACAGGATGGCTACAGCCTGCCTGCAGATGCATTTGTGTTATCCCAACACAAGACTAAACATTTGTACAACTTTACCAAGTAGTTCATGTGTACTAGTACTTATCTTAGCACATATGGTGATATATTGTATCTGTAACAACATGTTGCAACAGCCTTCAGGCATGCATTCTTAGAATTGTTACCTCTGCCAAGGAGGATATGTTCTTTTAATGATTTTCACATCTGCTACTGAATGTGTGCAACTGTAACATTGCCAAAAACATGCCTTTGTTAATCTGTATTCACTGTAAAGTAATGTAAACTTTGGCTTTCTACACACAGGTGACATGGTGCACATCAGTGGAGAAGCGGCGCGTGCCTACCATCCCTCGATGGGTCTGAAGAGTGTGTACAGAAACTTGCTGTTGCTTAATAAGGAGCTGCTGCTGGTGGTTGACCACATCGAGGTGACCCCAGAGAGCCGTCTCAAGCAGACAGCTGCATTCTTCCACAACATGGACAAAATATTCCAAACCTACAAGTTCAGCCACTACAGAGGAGCCAAGGTGGAAACACCGGTGGGAGACCTGCGGATGTTTTGGGTTAGTGATAACGGGGACACGCCCTGGCCGATGTTGGAAACGGAGCAGTACCCGGCAGAGTACCAGAGAAGAATCACACATTACGTCAACATCACCATGTCCCTGTCCAGGCCTACCACCCGTATTGCCTATGTTCTCATGGGACCCAACCTCAAGATGGAGGAATTCAAGTTCTCTGCCAGTGACCGAGATGGAGTACAAATGATGCTCAGGGCAAATGGATCGGTCTACCATGTATCCATGGCAACCAGGCACCAGGATCCTGTTGCCAGGGCAACATACTTAGGATTCCCTGGTCATGCTCAGGTAGTTAAGGATGGGAGGAAGGTGAAGTTTGGGGTGAAAGAATCTGAAATGACTCTGCCAGGAGCAACAACTGAGAAACCCTTTCAGCTTGGGGTGTCCTTTAATGTGTTCTTCGTCATCACCCTTATTTCAATTTCCCTCGTCATAGTCTTGAGGCAAATGCTGAACTCCCATCAAACGACAGTATTTCACTATGTTTTCCTCACCCTTGTCATCCTATGGCTTATGTGTATCATTGCTGTGTGGACAGTTTGTCCTGTGTCAATCTGTCCCTCTTCTGATGATACAAGTACTGAAAGTCTCAAAGAGTTGTCAGTCAAGGACACCACCCTTCCAAGAGTTGTCATAACCTCCCTGCCAGGGTCAGGGAGCGATCTCCTCAGCCAAATGTTTATGGAAAATCCAGACTTCTTGTACATCCAGGTACCCTCCAAGTATGTCGGTGTTCCAAGAGTGGAGTTTGAAGCTGGTTCATTTCTGGATGCATGTGAGTGGCTGACGTCCGATGCAGCTTCCCAAAGGTTTCCTCTGCTCGAGGGATGGTTCCAGTCTTTTACAAGAGATCCTATGCTGCATCTGCACAGGCAACAGATCAGGCATCCAGTGGGGCGTAAGTTACAGGGCGAGGGGTTCAAGAATTGGTTCAAAGAAACAAAACACCTTGCAAATTCAGGAGGAACTCAAAAGGGAGTCAAAAAGAGAAGCGTTAAAAAGAAACCAACCAAGAATGTGGAAAAGCAAAAGCAAAAGGAGTCAGAAGTATCTAATTTAAGAAAAAGTGAGGGGGAACAAGGAAAAATGGCAAGATCTACTGCTGATGCTTATGAAAATGAGCTTACAGGTTTGTTACAGAGACTTGATGACTTCCCCAATGCCCAAGCTGTGGTGCATTTAGGCAGTGGGAGTTGGACATTGAAAATGCAGTGGATATACAGTGTGCTGAAGTCCCAGAGCAGGATCATACATGTGGTCAGAGACCCCAGGGCATGGGTACATGCTATGATGGCAAAGCAGTCTCTAATGTACAAGGAGAAACGAATTCAGGACCAGGTCATCTCCATGTTTCAGAATGACAACAAGTGTGGTTTGGAGACTGGCTATGCATTCGAGTTTGAAAAGTTGCGTCTAGCTATAGTAGATGGCAAGCTGCCACCCCACAAACTCCTGGCCCACGTGTGGGCTGCCAACATGGCCGCTGTAA